TATATATATATATATATATATATATATATATATATATATATATACACGAGCTAGGGTGCAGAAAAGAACAATCGTTTGCACATTACTGTCACTTTGGATGTCTAGACCTCATATAACTTATCAAACTTTTCTTCAAAAGAGAGTTTCAAATAAAAAGACAGCTTCTATTTCAAAGCTGTGATCGTTACATTAGTCAACTGCACGCCTCCTCCTTATCAAAAAAAAACGAATGGTTTAAGAAGGAGAAAATTCAAACTAACCGTGTAAGAGTACCTAATCCTTGTCGTGCAATTAGCGATCTAGCAGCATGCAGAGGTGATTGATATTTTGAGCGTGCACTATCGGTTTGGATCTGAATCAGCAACTTCAATCGCTCTGAGGGAGTGGCTAAAAAACAAATTCTATATCCGGCTGTTCTTGAAACTTTCTTGTCGTGCAATTAGATCTTAGGCCTTCAAAAGTTAAGAAGCAGGAAAGAATTTGAAACGAACCGATTACGCTCTGCATCACACCTGCGGCGCAACCAGCAAGGAAGTGTGCCCTAAGCGAATCTGGATGTGAAAATTCCCGACATACAAATCCATGCACGCCGAAGACAACAGCATTGATGGCTGTTAGTGAAGCGAGAGGGGAAGAAAGACCTAAAATTGGAAAGTAGAATAGATACTACGTACAAGGAAGTATTTTTCATAGAACTCAAATTAAAGGAGCGTCCAGAACGTGGAAATGAATCATCCCTACGGCTTACAATGTCTCAAACAATAATAGCTCGTAAATGCATTCCATAGAAAAGGCTGTTGGATAGAGAATACAATCAAGGACAAAGCGTTGTCATCGCTAAACCTATCTCTCAGAAATTTCTCTCTGGTGCCTTGATTTCTCCTTTTCGTTTAGGTTTTTGTTTTCTTAGATGTTATGATCTGGTATATTCGTCGTTGATTATATTAAAACACTGTTCCTAGATCAGGTAGATAACCTTGCGCTCCACTCAGCGGATTTTCGCAGCTTAGGGTCGTTTTGTCAACGACATGGGCGCAACTTGCCGACGCTAAAGAAAGCGACCTTCGTGCAATCGCATCCTGACTTGGGCCCCGACTTTGTGCGAATAAGATTAAGGCACGGGTGATGTAAAATAGAAATTACAAATATATAAAAAATTATCACCACACAAGAGAAATGAATCATGAGCATAACTTTTCTTGAATATCTCATGCGTAAGAGTGTTAATCAGTCATTTCATTTCATCCTTATTTTCTTTGTTTGCAATGTGCAACCGAAGATTAGCGAGAACATAATTATATAGAAGCAAAAAACAGTCTGAGTGAAGGAAAAGGGATAGACATGACATGCCAAGAGTTCATACATAGCCCAACCGGCCGTAGAATGTCCTTATGATTTATTTGTTTTCACAACGACCAGTCTATAATAATAAAGGAAGTGAAATTTTTTCAGTTAGCAGCATTCGACTAAAGCATATTACAAACTAAATGTGAAAAGTAAGCTTTGCCTGCGAGAATCACAGTTGAACCGTAGTTCTCGTTTCTCCATACTTCGTACAATACTGCATAGTAGAGATCTTAGGATGTTCTGCAGTTACCAGTCATTGAGAGACGGATGTGAAAAGGGAAAATTGAAAGTAAATAAAGCACTAACGGAAGACAGAGAGGATAAAGTTTAATGCTATCGTAACATATAGCTATGTATTGAATGCAGCATGCAGCAACAAATACTAGGACTGGTTATTTTATATATTGATGACACGATAGCTTATCTGTTGCTCACGATAAGTTCCAGACTAAGAGTCCCTACTGAAGACCCAAGATTTCTCATTTAACAAATGCAGCATTATACCGGTAATTTTGCATTACTTTGCAAGACCCTCAATCTGAATGTAAGCTAGCACACTTAGCACTAGATGATCTCATCAGACCACCATCAAACTGTCAATATCATCTTTGTGCTGCGACGAGACTGTCGGTTTCACCGTTAAAGTTGATTGATGCGCGAAGAAGACCGCAAACATAGGGTTTGTCCAAGAAATTGCGATCGCATTGATTGCATACGCATAAACAGCATGAATGCAATTGCGTAAATTCGCACGTCAATGTAACCTTTCGCTACCTAGTCTAGTTTGGTCTAGTCAAAAACACACCTTTGTAAAGTCCAGCAAAACCTTCTTTTTGGATTATCCGCTTGAAACAGTGCCAAGTACCATGATAAAGCTTGGATCCGGGACTTTGCATTTGAAGACGAACTTTAACAGTGTCCAACGGATGCCCGGCTAGGACTCCAGCAGCACCTTAAACGAGTTTGCACATCAGTTATCCAAAAGTTTAGGTATAATAAACTAACCTCCGACACATCCAGCAAAAAAATCGATTGCTGACATAATGAAGCTAGGGTAAAGCTAGGCAAATATCAGTTGAAATAGGTTTAGATTACAGAAGTCGCGTGTCGCGTCAAGCCTCTTTAGGCAACGAACGAGGACGCGTACGAATCCACCAAAATAGAGGTTGATGGAGATGACAAAGGAACAAATAGCTAAGCCAGTAGGAAAATGCGAATACGAGAGCGATAAAAGACAGACGTGGAGGAACGTCACCTATCTGGAGTAAGCCTTTTTAATATGGCATTTTCGTCCTATCCACCCACTTAGCGATGAAGATGATTGATATACGGTAGCGTAGAGAGCACACGCCCACGCGAGACGCAGACCGTCGCACCTGTTCCTACAGTACATAGTTAGAGCTCCCCAAACTATAGTGACAGTAGCAGTAAATCTGCAAATCAGAAGTACAACTGTTTGAAAAATGATGAAATTTGCTTATTATGACCACCACAAAAGAGGCAAGTTCGTCGAAGTTGTGACCTTAGGATATCGGCATAGGTAGTTCATTACATCTAAATATATACATATTCTTTGCTTTATTGCAAAATTTCATGGAAAAGAACATAATATCGGATATATACGCTTTTTATAATCGCAAATCATTGCCCCACACTCACTTATTCTTGTCACTGTTCATCGCATCCTTACATTGTAATAAGTCATGATGTTTGAGTGGCCAGTATAGAAGTAGGTAAGGTGTATTCAGGTTTTGAAAAGCTCTAACAGCCAAAACATCGAGGTAATTGTGAATTGAAATTTTGGATCTAGAGGTCATCCCAGAAGGCAGGAACAGGGTAGGACATGGTACCTGCCGAATAATCAAATAGTTGTAGAGCCAATTCAGGATCCAAACGCTTGAAAGTAACATATACACAGCATCCACCACTACTTAAAAGAAATGAACGAGTGAAAACACTGCTAACAATTGATATTTAATCCATATACGTTGCAAGAGACACTCCTTGCAATTAGAAAAATACACCTGCTATCCTAACCTTCAAAAATTCAATGTTAGTTTCTTCCGATTTGCATCTACTATCAGCTTCACAATTTTCCGAAAATTCATTCATTGGAGTGACAAACAACATCTTGAGCAACTCAATACTTACAGTTCGCTGCTGACTGCAAAGTGCTCAATATCCCTCGTTTTCTCAACCAATCTGCTACAACCGCTTATCTGCAGTTTCAAAAACGTTAGAGGGCTTTTGCGTGATAGTCAACGGTTTATGTTTGGGTGCTGTATTCCGTATAGAAAATCTTGAAGAGGGGATCTGGAGCATTATGTGAAGGGGGAAGTAACCATTTGCGAAAATGGGGTAACAATGGTGATGATAATGTTTTCGCCTGTTATCTCTTCCAAGACATCATCGCTTCAAATTTTGTCGCAATCAAGATCTTCGGTTCTCTTTGTAGCCTTATAACGCTAAAAACAATAGATATAAGGGCTCGTGGCTTTTGATTTGCTGCATATCTCCTCCTGCAACTCTTCTTTAGGGATAAAAAGATCTTAATGCCCATTTTGAAGCATGTGCTTCATGATTTGCGCGTTATACATACACACAATGGACCGAAAAATGGATGATCTTGAAATAGAGTTCATAGTCAAATTGCCAGTTTGTTATTCAGATGAGATTTCAAATAATTGTTTATTGCCGCCATTTTTACCTATTGTAGACATAAAGTTTGAGTGGCAAATGGTTCAGTACATAGGCGAGATCTATTAAGCGTCCAAAGCTTGTAGAATGCAGTTTACGGTAGCTCAGCTCAAGTAGATCTTCATATTCAAAATAGCAGCAGAAGTAGGTTTGGTTATTGCCTCAGTGTTATATCAGATCCAAAGTGAATAAAGGCTGCTGCCTACAAATCTATAACAAAA